AGATATTTTGTTTCAGTTAACAGGTCCAGACTTAAATCTGGCTTCCATAGTAAAATTTCAGAAATAATTGCTTTGAAGTTTGCTTCTGGTCACTTGCAAACACTTTAGAAGCAATGTCTAGCCTTATGCTGATGTCTTGATGACTTGGGTCTCTCATACCAACCTCTACAGTATTTTAAGTTTTCAGAATTCAAAGGGTGAAATCCTCAAGTGGGCATTTTTCCCAAAAAATCTTTTTCAATGTCATAAAATAAAATGTTGTCCTCTGTACCTCCAGCATATGCCTAATCATGTTTCCTATGTCTTTTATTTCTTGTTCCTAATGGTGATTTTATAATTAGCTCACATTTTATGAATCCATTTTTTGGAGGAATGAATGCTGTCTCTGATAGATTCAATTTGTGAGAGCTTAAAAGGCACTCTAGCAACAGATGAAATCAGCTGCATCTTTCACATTCACACTGAATTAATTAATCATGTGCGAGACAACTATTCCAAGTGTCCATCTATGTGAAAGATGCTGTGTTAGTATTACAGAAAATAGAGCACTATCAATATTTGTAACAATGACTAAACACTATTACCATCTAATAACTGCTTTGTGGTTCATATTATAACAGCAGTCAATTAGTTTCCTATTGTAGAAATTTGAGTTATATTCCGGGGATGTCTTCTATCAGTTCTGTTTACGTGGCTTAAAAACAGTCGGGTATGAGGGCTGTTAAGCTCTCAGAAGGCAGTAGACTGGTTTTGTTAGCTGCTTTGCAACACTGTCAGTAGTTTTAGGAGGTGACAGATTTAGTGTACACGTACTTGCACAAGACCGAAAGGCGACAGAAGCCAAACAAAGAGTTGAAACAAAGATAAACAACTGAGATGATCAGGCTCCTTTGGATTATGACCTGCAAATGACAGTTTGTTTTACTATTGTGCTGTATAGTTTGGAAATTAAATCTAATGTAGTTCTCTCCCATATGTGCACTTAAAAAGCCAACTTTTAACAAAAAACTTTCTTCACTCATTGTTTTCCAAACACAATGTAAGGAATATCTGGAGATACAGAGGAGGGCAGCAATTGCTTTGCATGCTGATTGTTTCTGGGACAATTAAAGACAAAAAGAGACTCCTCGATAAAACAAGCAAGCTTGGAGAGGGAATGTAGTATGGAAATGAGAAACGTAAGCCTTGAACTGGACTCCAGCATCACATTAACTGTAACATTTATGAGTATTACAGTGCAAAGTTTGCCTTTTCCTTTTCTTTTACAGCCTCATAATTTTCATTTGCCTGTAAGGTTTTTACCCTGGTATATCCTATTGAAAAAAATCCACCTCTGACTCATCTATTTGAGACTGTAGATAATAATCATGGACTGAGGGAGGGATTATTAGATTGTTTTGAGCAAGACAAAGACTATCACATCTCCTGAACCCCGTTGTCTTTCCAGACACTGACCTCTTTGCCTAACAGGGAACAGCAAAAAGGGCAGTAAAGAACATTAAGAGGGAGCTGTAGTTCACTAGAGTAGACATGCTAAAACTTTTAACCTGATAGAGGAAGGCAAACAAGAACGCCTTCCATATGCAGATAACTCTGCTGAACGGCAAATTGCTTACTATTCTTTTCAAATACCACTGGGCACTTTTAATCACAATTTTGAGAGATCCATTAGATGGACTTTATTGGAGCCAAATTTTGGCCGTGTCTCTGCCCCTCTTGAGGGCAGGAACACGCCAGCAGTAGTATTTTAGGGGGTTCCCTTTTTTATTTCCATATCTGTTATGGCTCGCACCGACCACCCAGTAGTCCTGCCCCAAAACGTCACCACTTCGACCCTCATTTAAGGACTTCGACATTCATTTTAGATCAAGCTCATGTGCGTGTAACTTTGGGCTATGTCACCCCCGGGGTGCTTCACAGTTGCTCCGCGTCCCCGAGGCCCTCACCTCCACCTGCGGCGGCCCGGGGACCAGGCCGCGGGCCCACGGCTGCTCCAGTGAGCCCGGCCTGAGGAAAAAGCCTCCGTTTCCGTACCGTCAGCGCTAAGCCTCTTCTCCATCTTGTGCCTGAGGAAAAGGAGAAGGATGGCTCCCGGCCCGCCTGAGGAGAAGGGTCGAAGTCGCCCATTCCCAACTCAGCGCCCTCCTCCCCCAGCGGGCGCGGCTTAGGTAAAGCGGGCGGGGGCCCGGGCCCGCGGCCTCTCCCTCAGGCAGACGGTTTCCTGCTGGGGGAGGGGAGAGGAGACGGCGCCGGCACACTCGGCGCAGAGCGGCCGCCATCACATGTCGTGTAGCGAGGAGCGAGCATCCCAGGGACGGGCAACGGCGCGGCCGGCGGCAGCGGAGGTAACGCGGGCGGCCGCGCCGCCACAACTGGCGGGGAAAGGTCTGGCGGGGAAGCCCGGCACGGCAGCCCAGCACGGCGGCTGAGGCGCCGCCCTCCTTCCCGACACTCGGGGAAGGTGGCGGGTAGCCCGGCTGGGCTGCAGGGGCTCTCCGCGCCTCTTCCCCTTCGGCATCCGGGGCCGCGCCGGCTGCAGGTGTGCGGGGCGGCAGCGCGACAAATGGCGTGGGCTTATTTTATTTTTTTGTGGGGGTCTTCAGCGGCGGCACCTGCGGGTACCTCAGTCCTGACAGCCCCGGGCGGGAAGCGCTTGCCCCTCAGGACTGAGGCGCCGGGCAGCCGCTTCCCGCCCGGGGCTGTCCAGGAGGCGTCAAACATGCCCGAATCTCGCTTATTTTGTAAGGAAAACGGGGTAAGCACCGCTTGGTGAGGGAGTGAGCGGCCACCGAGGGGGCGAAGTGACCCCAGATCCTCCCTCCCTCCCTGCGGCGCGACCCCGAGGGCCGCCGCTCTCCTCACGCCATCCCCGCCGGCCACATGCCCGTCCTGTCGCGCACATCCCGGCTTTTTGAGGGTGGTTTTCTTGGAGCCACGCGTTTTATTTGGTTTGGCAGCCGGCGGGCATGAGGGTTGGTACTCAGGTCGGGTTAGAGCAGGATGTTTCTGGGCGACGGGTGCATGTCATTATAACTGCTCTCTTAACTCGTTGTCACAGGGAACCGAAGTGGGTTTAGTAATAGCCTCAGGCGAGCGTGGCTTTGCTCGCTGGCATTTGGTAGTGATTTTGATTGTTTACGTGGTTTTTACGTGCAATCTGTTTGGGGGTGGCTGTAAGTTATGGCTAAGGAGTACAGATTTGTAGGTAAATGGGTGCCTTCTGACATTACTTTTCCCCCTATTTTAAAGGTTTATGCTTTTGTGCCCCAGCATAAAAAATAAATTATTTTAACCAACACTATTATTGTCTTTTCTGTCTTTACCTGGGTCTTACTGTATAAATTTCACCAGATGTTCCTCTTATGGCAGCTGCTTGTGCACTTCCAACCTCACTTCTGTCTAAACCAAGACTGTCTACCACAAAGTCCGTTGTTGTGAGCTTGCTTCTATTTTTTCCCTTGGAAATATAAAAATAAATTAGAAGTGTGAAGGCTCTAGTGGCATGTCATTTTCCACTTCTAGGTAGCACAGTTCCCTGACTTTAAAGTGACTTGGTGGAAAATCTTGATTAATATTACTGAGGTGGATTTGTCTAGGATTGGTACTTTAGAAAATTTTGAAAAGTTTCTGAGGCATTGTAACTGAATGTCTGTTTGTGAGGTGATTATAGGTCTTTCCCTCATTAAATGTTCATAGTCTTCCTCAGGATTTGTCTGAACATGTGGATAGTACGTTTATTTGCCGAACATCTCTTGTGCAGCTGTGTATAGACAGGTCTTACTGCCATCACTGATACACTATCAAGTGAATAACTGACACAGTGACTTCTCTTTCATATCTTCTCACACGATAACACACCTTGTCCTTTTTTTAAAATACGGATGTTGCAACCCGTTTTATTTGATTAAAGGTTTATGTTCTTTTTTGTAGTGCTAAAGATGGTGTGTTGCATACACAAGCACAAAAGACTTGGTTGCACAGATTAGATCTTTATATTGGGAATTGCTTTTGTTGCAAGGGCTTCCTGTTGGTATATATGGTAGAAAAGTGATTCTTCTCTCAGCAGAAACAAGCAAAATGCATAGTAGACAAACTCTAAGCCTTTCCCACTGAAATGTTTGGACTATGAGGTGCCTAAATATATATATTGCAAGGAATAGGTGTTCCAGGGACTTGGAACCTTTGCTTAACTCCCTGAAGACTTTCATGCTGTTTGCCTGCATAGGGCAATCTTGACTTCTACCCAAAGGGCAAGCTGTTGTGTTCAGAAATAGGTGTTTTACAGCTGGTATGTGTGAATAGTGAAAAGTATATATGTAAAGCTATGTCACCACAAGAGCTGTTTTATGCAATCAAAATACGTGTGAAAGACAGAGGCAAGAACACTAAAAATCTGTGCTAATGAGCATAGCAAAACATAGTAAGCTTTTAGCAGTTCAGTATTTCACATTGGTCATTAACCCACTTGGCAGGTTCACCTCAGGTTGAACAAATGGCTGGTCAGCAGCTGTCCTGCTCAGTGGGAGAGAGGGGATCTGGGAGGATGGTTCCTCTTTCCCTTCCCTTAAAGTAGGGTAACCCTGTAATGCATTGTTAGTAGTTTGCTAACTGCAGGTACTCGATTAACTCCTTTGGTACATGGCTGAAGTGTGATAGGCTTTATAAGAATATATATTTTTAGTGAGACAATGAAGTGATACTAGTTTCAGGTCACTCTGTCCTGGTTTTGTATCAAAGCTTCCTATATCAACGGCAATGGCATTTCAGTAAAAAAAAATCTCATGCATATCAGCAAAAAGATTCCTCACAGCTGCAACAATCAGCAAAAAAAAAAAAAAGACTTTGTATTGCACAAGGGTGAGCTATGAGGAAATCCACGTGTTACTTCGTGTGGAGGCATAAGCCTGCATTAGCTGTAGCAGTCCTGTGGCAAGGCTTTGGCAGCATTAGGGGTTGTTCCAACAGTGTTTTTAGCTGCAGTATTACAGTAGCTAATTGTTGTATGTTAGAAAACATACACTGCTCCTCTCTGGTTCTTCTCTTCCAAGCTTGTCTTCTGTTTCCACAGAAGTAATGGTTTTGTGAGAAAATAATGGATTTTAATATATGTGGTTTTTTTCTCTATATTGCTAACCTAGCTTCAGTTTCCTCTAGTCTCTGCTTGCCCTCTTCCTTTGTAGGTGTTTTGTATTTTTTTTTTTCAGTTGATCAAAGCTGCTGAGTTTAGTTCCAGTTAGGATTAAATGAAGTGCTTTTAGGAAAAAAATTGCTGATAGTTGTTTTTTTTTTCTGTCATAGAGGTGGTGTAGTGAGACAGGTAACTCAGGCAAATAATCAATTCCTGCCCTTAAGGTTTAAGGATATAAACCAAACAAGGTTAGAGAAGAGAATGAGATGCTAAATCTTGAGTGAGTTGTTGTACACACCTTCATTCAAATCCTAGTTGTCAGCAGATACCTGAAGTTGGGAATAACAAAAGCAGACTTGGAGAGGAAGAAAGGGTATTGGGGGACAAAACAAGCTCGGTTGTGAGATACTGTGATTGTTCTTTCCTGGGTAGAGTAGGACAAGAAACAGTCAAGGTCATCAGTAACAAAATTGTATAGAATGGCAGTCACGTGCTACTAATTGCAGTGTGGAGGCATTTGAACAGTGACAGGGTCTGTAGTTACAGGTAATTAAATGTACCTCTAAACTTCAGACCAGTGACTCTTAGTGTAAAAAACTGCCTGTGTGTGCACACATCAGATTAGATTTGATTTGAATGATTCAATGGGTTTGAATCAAATAAAGTAATCTAAGTTGCCTGAGTATTCCAAGTAATGTTTATGCTTCTGCACAAGTCATACTTTGAAAGGTGTTCCAGGAAGAAATGGGAATGGTGATTAGGGTATGTGGAGTAAGATATCATAAAGCTGTGTAGTTACCACCAAAATGATGTTTTACATCCATGAGTCAGTTATTAACATATTACTCGGTTTTATCCCTTCGCTGGAAAGGCTGAGAATGATTGTGGCATGTTTTCAAACTGGCCATTGTATGTCATGGATGTCAGAAAAGTAACTGTAGTATTCTCATTTTTTCCATTGGCATTTGTTCAGAGTGCAACATTTGTTCGATTTGCAACTAGTGTTCTGTCACAGTCAAAATAGAAATGAAAAGACTCAATTTGGAGTTGAATGTTATTTTTACAAGTCACAAGTGTTCTTATGGTCAAATTAGTCAGGATGACATCTGCTTTGATTACTTGTCCTGCTGTTTTAAACATTTATACTTTCTGATAATTCCATCATATTTGCGACTTAGAGATGAATGATGTAATGTGTTTCAGTAAATGATATGTACTCCATTTCAGTAGAAGTTACATTTTTACTAATTGAAAAGAATCTTTATAATTTTCACATTTTTAAAGCTATTTTAGTTCTGATATCTAGGGATGTCAGGTCAGACTTTCTGTACTGTAGAATACAGGTGTTGGCTTCATAATAGAAGAGGAGTATGATTATTAAGTTTTCCCTCCAGAAGGGTGTGCCTCTAACTGCATGAGCAAAACCTTGTATGTTCCTGTGTTGCTGAACCCATAGATTTGTATGTAGTTTGGGTGAGTGCATGCTGACTCAAAATCCTCATACTCAGGGGTTTTGTTCTCTTAGTTGACAAGTTTATTGTTGGCTTAACAAAACCTTCTGCAAAACTAGTGTTACCACAAAAAAAGTGCAGAAACTTTCCCCCCGCCCTGCTAGATCAGCTGCTTTATTCTATTTGACCCAGACTTTTAAATTTTTCTGGTTTGTAGTAAATGGCTGAAGTATACAGTGAGGGTTTAATGAGGAGCATGGCATAGGAATGGTTGTGCATTCTGGCAGTTATGTAGGGTTTGTTCTTTAAGAAGCCAGTAACGTAGTAATTAAAAGCAATTTTGAAATTTAAGCTGTTCTCGATACAAAACTGTTCCTTGAATAGATTATTTCTTACTTGAACTTCTGTAAGATGAGCCTTATTCAGAATTACTGCTAATTTTCAGTATATTTTTGTGCTAGTAAGTGTTACTAGTAACTTTCTTTTGGAAAGCATGGGGGAATTTCCTGGGGACTTGAGAAGGGGGCTGTTTTCCAAATGGTTAATTCTGAAGCAGAGGAAAAAACTTTATTTCTGTCTTCTTAGCTACTTTTAAATACAGTTGTTAATGGAGGAATTTGGATTGAAACTACTGTTCATTTTTCATGTACTGTTCATACTTTTCATGTACAGCCTGCACTCTTAGACTAACTCCAATAAATGAGGAAGTGGGAACTGAGAACAGTTTCAGGGAGGTGGGAGGGAGCAAACTGTAATATCAGTTCGCAGTCAAGAGTTGGATCAAGCAGATTCTGAAGTAAGTATCTCTTCATATTTCCAATAGCAAGAGCCCACACTGCAATAATAACATGCAACCCTGTTATTCTCTCACTCATAATTTACATGTGTCTGTACAATAGTTTGATCAATTTTTTTTTGTACTGCAATAAATCTATGTTCATGCTTAGAACTTCAGCTTGGTTTAACAGTGCTTGCTTTTCTATGTCACCTCTCTTTGCTTCTGTCTGTTATTTATTCCTTTTCAACATTGGAATCCCTTAATTCTGTCCTTCCTATGGTTTTGTTTGTGTTTGGTTTTTTTTCTAAAGGCAGAAGTTCCTTTCTCAGCTTAAGCTACATTGGAATTTGTCTTTTGCTCTCAATGTTGGTTTTTCTGTTTAACTATTATGAATTTACTTTTGTGTAAGAAAATGTGTGAAGCAACAAAAGGGAATTTATCCATTTACATTTGTAAATCATAAGGTTAAAAAGTGGAAAGAAAATTTGGCAAGAAGTTTGTGGGATAAAATTTTATAATTATTTCAGCTGTCTATATTTTGTTTTAGATTGTGACTTGGAGTCGTGGAGAATTCACAGTATTTCCACAATGGGAGAAAGGACAGATTGTATGAAGTCGCATAGTTCACTGGCTGAATACAGCCCCGTCAATAAATCAGACAGGACAGATCGAAGTGACAGCTGTGAAATGCAGGATGGAAACCAAAATACATTGCAACTGAAGAAAGAAATATCTTTGATAAATGGGATAAGCCTTATAGTAGGCAACATGATTGGTTCAGGTATCTTTGTATCTCCCAAAGGAGTTCTCATCTACAGCAAATCTTATGGATTATCGCTAATAATCTGGGCAGTCGGAGGGCTTTTTTCAGTTTTTGGAGCTCTCTGCTATGCTGAACTTGGAACCACTATTACAAAGTCAGGAGCCAGCTACGCATATATCTTGGAGTCTTTTGGGAGCTTCATTGCTTTTATTCGTTTGTGGACCTCACTCCTAATTGTTGAGCCAACTAGCCAGGCAATTATTGCCATCACCTTTGCTAACTACATAGTTCAACCTTTCTTCCCTTCCTGTGATCCTCCTTATTTGGCTTGCCGGCTCATAGCAGCTGCTTGTGAATGTGAGTATTTCTTGAAATTTACTACGTTATATTTTTGTCCAGGGTTATGTTTGATTAAAGTCCCAGAGTTGGTGCATACTGAATCTGCAATGGTTTAGTTATAGTGGGGAAAAGAACAGTTTCCAGCACATGAATAACTTAAAGGTATTCAGTCAGTGAATTATCGTTTTCTCATTCAGGAGCAGAATAAGGTATTTAACTCTTCCAAGTTTACTTACATGGCAAAAATGGGGGGAAGAGGTTTTTTCTCTCAAAGTATATTAAATCAAACCTCAAGAAACTCTTGGTGTGGTCTAGGAGTTGTTACAGAATAGCTTTTATGCTATAAATTCTGCTGTAATTTATTTTACAATAGCTTCTCAACGTAGACGTGCCTAAGTAATTGCTCTGGTAGGGTTTCAAAAGATTATTCATTCAAGATTATTCTTTATCCTTGTGATTAACTGTAACATCAGTACAACAGTACCTGTTGTAAAGCTAGTTTGAAAAGCGGGAAATTTTCTGTGCACATAAAACCTTGAAATGTTTGTAATCAGCTAGCCAGCTCTGTTAGTAGATAAAGAGGAATAACTCTCCATGTGCTTCAAATCAGGACTGTTCTGTTCTATCAAGAGAATGAAACTGTATGATTGTACTCTGTGTCTTTTTTAATAGGGAACACCTAAAATTAAATGTGTTTATATTCGTGTATTACATTTCCAGTAAACAGTGAAAAATCTATTTCAGAAAGTCTGTACAGCCATCTGTTGTCAGGTACTGATCGTTATTGCCGTGTACTGTGGAGTCTGCCATCCCTATTGACCTGATGCTCTTACCATAAAGCTAATACAGAACTTGGGCTTTTTTACTGCCAATCATATGCTACAGGGAGGAGATGTGCTGTTCGTACCTGGTTTCTTTTTGAGGCAACAGGGAGCCTATTGAAATAGCTCTAAAGTTCCTTATTACAGTTGTCTGCATAGGACTAGAAGAGAGGGCAAAGACAGAGCAGTGGTGTGTGTTTCAAATAATGGACCTCCAAACTAGCTGTGAACATGATGGCTTCCCCTTCCATTTTTTGCAAGTTCATTTGTTCCTGCAGGGAGAGCACTGATGTTCTGGTCTGTGTCCAGGTAGTGGGAAGAATAATAACAAACTTCTTCCAAAAAATTCCACAGATTCAGGAGTGCAGGGGAATCTGCTCTTCCGTTTGTTATCTCACATCTGAGGGGACTTAACCCTTAGAAAAAGCAGTTTATCAAAAACCAAGAAATTAAGACAAACTGATTCAATTAGAACTATTATATATTAGCTGTAGAAACACAGTGTGATGTCCTCTACACTTGCTGCGTTTAGCACCTTTTTCTTTGGTGGAGATACTTGACAACAATGTCACTCTCATGTCAGTGGAATAACTTACTTTAATGGTCCATTTTATGGTTTAAATGCTTGTTCTGCCCTGCTCCTGCTCTCCAACTTCATTGAGCTCTTCCTGTTAAAGCCTACACTTCTCCTTGGCCTGGCAGGGCTGATGTGTGTCAAATCTTTATCTCTGGATACAATTAATACTTTGTTAATTAATTGGCTGGGAGTGGAAATCTGAACATTGGTTAGGTACAGATTGTATGTGACAAGGGGTGGGTTTGTTATGTTTTAGGGGGGTTTTATTGTGGCTTTTTTTTTTTTCTTTGAACTAGTAATAACAATACTAGGTCTAGTGTGAGATCAGTCTTAGTGTTACAGAGCACTACTTTGTCACTCGTTTTGGAAATGGGGGTGGTGTCTGGTGCTGCAGAACTAAACAGTTCTTAGGAAACTTAAGTAGCTAAATGATAATTAAGTTGAAAAAAACATGAAAGAATAATTTTGGTAAAAGAAGGGGGGGGAATGTGGCTAGTTCAGATTCTTGATTATCTTTTTAATTTTTTTTTATTTTTAAGATATCAGAGACAGTAGCATCTGATCTGAAATAGACACCAAACACTAACTCATTAAAATAATGAGCTAATAATAATTGCTCCTGATGAAAGTTGCTCAAAAAAATAATGGCCAAAATAAGCTCTGTGAGCAAATACTCCATGGATAATACCAATTGTTAATAATGAAGAGCTGAGACCAAGCGGAGTTGTTTTTCTTTCCAGAGGGCTCTTTGGGAGCTGCAGCTCCTGACTTGAAATTTGATACAACTGTTTTTTGCCCGGGGTCTTGCCAAGCTCAGTGAGATCTGGCTCTGCATTTCACTTGGCCGGGCTGTCTGGTGTACGAGTGCTGTGCTTTTGAGCTCATTCTTTTGTTACCTTTTTGCAATTATTACTTTTGTACTTCGTAACTGTGCTAAGCACATTTTTATCTTAATAGTATCACATTATTCTTGGATTATGGAGAAGGAAATAATTTATCTCATCTTCTTTTTTTTTTTTTTTTTACTACTGCCTTACTCCTTAAACAATCAAGTTTAGTTTTTATTTATATGCAAATTTAAAATACATAGTACAAGAAAATTGTTTGGAGATAAAAAAGTACAGTAGAATATAACCACTTTTTTACTAGCTAGAGAAAAAAACAGGAGATTTGGGGAAAATATTTAAACTTCCGGATTGGAATCAATAATGTTATGATAATCTGAATAAGAAAAATATACACTGAATCAGTACTTTGTTCAGTAAGGAATACTGAAGAGGCTGTCTGGCGCTCCATTTGAGGAAAAAGTAATATATGCAAAAGCAAATGTTGAGAGCCATGAGAACAGTGTATTTCAACAACAGCTTTAGAAGTGTTTATTGGGGAAGTTGATCATATGAGTAAGTTCAGTCAGCTGCTGTTCCCAAAACAGCTGTGAAATCAGAAAGTCTCACTTCAGGGCCCATTACAGTCTTGTGCAATCAGTTTGACACTCAGTTATTTTGGGATAGAGGGAGGAATACATTCAGAATATTCATTACTTCCTGCCAGTTCTTAAAGATCCAGGTTAACGTTGCATTAGCTATAAAAAGTTTGTTATTTGGCCAGATCTGTTCTAACCTTACTTAGTAATCCAGTTTAATACAACTGGGAAAGAGTATTGAATTGCCTGTGAACATATTCAGTAGTGCAGATACTCCATGGATATTGAACTCATCCTCAGACTAACAAGGAAGCGGAAAGAACTTTTCACAAACTATTTTAATATGTTTGTCTAAAGGAATTTCTAGATAATGTTTAATTTGTCAGAAAATATTGGTAAATGTAAGTGAATAATTTAATTTAATCATTCCTTTAGCTTCAGGATAATTGCAGAGGGCAGCTGATCAGGAGTGACATTTAGAAAATAGGCATAAGACCAGAGAATGGGAAGGTCTTTCTTTCCATCTTTTGAAACGGTGTGTATTATGAATCTTTAGAACGTGTTTCCTACTGTCTTGTTTAAACAGTGTGTTTTCACTACCGATGTATTTTGCTTAGGTTAACCTAAGTAATAGTATAGCAGATAAGTTCATATTTAGACTATAATTTAAAATCTTTGAAAGATGAATTGAACTGAATATTGTTTGAATAATATTTTCTTTTTTTGTTTTGTTCTGTTTTTTTCTCCCTAGGTCTTCTAACATTTATAAACTGTGCCTATGTTAGATGGGGAACACGGGTGCAGGATGTATCTACTTACGCTAAAGTCGCTGCACTTATTGCCATCATCATAACCGGACTTGTTAAAATATGCCAGGGTAAGCTTATAAAATTAAAGCAAAGGTTTGTATTTATCATTTAAGCTGAATAAATGGTCTAAAGACTGTAAAATACCTTTGTATGTGTTATCAAAAGCCTCAATACAAGCATAATATAACCACTCTGAAAGCACCAATGTTAGGCATTATCGTGATACTGTATCATGAGAAGCTGTCTTATCTCAGTTGACTTTGAACTGGGTAGAAGGTGGTAAGGGATTGCTCAGCAATGTTGTGCAATTTACAGCCTGCAGTATGGAATAATAAAGGAAATGAAAACAGGAAAATACAGAGCTGGCAAAATACAATGGGAGCGGAGAAAGCTGTAAATTTCTGTAAGGAACATACTACTTTACAATGAGATCAACTGATTATTTTTTTTATAAAATAAATGTTATGCAAGTCTGAAAGTGACTCCTAAAGTAAAAATAGTTTTGTAAGAACATGTAACTCGATCTGTGGAACAACGGCTGTATTTTTGCTCGAGTCCTGAGTTCTATTATAGCTGTTGAGATTAGAAAGTTGCTGGGGTTTTGGATTTATTTAATTTTTTGAATCTGTGTGTGTTGGGCATTGTGCCTTCAGGTTAGAGGAGTTCTGAATTCAGTTTTGTTCTTAGCCCTTTCTTTGAGGAGAATTTGTTGGTGTGTTGGCTTAAAAAAAACCCTCTGCTTTCAAACCTGCCATAAAGGCCTTTCCCTGGCAATCTGGCAATTTGTGTCCTTTGCTCTAACTGGTTATTGTTGAAAGTCCATGAGCAAGGTAATTATTGTGAATGGAATGTGTATGTGAGCACCGTGCTGGAGTGTTAACTCCCTTGCACATCTGCCCATCCCTTCTTCTGTAGATCGTGAGCTTCTTCACCTACTGACTTCCTTGACGTTCTCTCCCATCTCTGTTTCTAACTCGGCAGTCACTCTGCCTATGTCTGTGCCAAGGAAATAGCAATGGCTGGTGAGGATAAAAAGAGAGAAAGAAGGGAAGTTATTTCAGAGGCCTCAAATATTTGCCCTGGCTAGTTTTGATGAAGTCCAAATATTTCAGGATGTTCCAAAACATAGACGGCATGTTTTTACCTTTCTGTATATGGTGTTCCTGTGTGTGTGTGTAAAATAGTCTGAATATATGAAACTGCCATTGGTGAGCTTGTCTTGACTTGCTTAAAGTCAAAAGGTGGCACAAGTTCTCACAAATACTGGTGCCAAAAAATCCATACACATTTTCTCTTACCTTGAGAAAATTTTATCTCGAGCAACAATAATATTTTGTGTTGTGTTAATTGATCTCAGTTTTCTGTTTTTAATGGCTAAAATCTAAACATTAATTTAGGAGTTTGTTCTCTTTTCTCATAGTTATCTAAAATTAACTGTAATCTTTGTTTTCTGCATAGACTAAATGATTGAAAGTTTAAAAAGATACAGAAGGATGGAGTGGAACATTTTATAAATATATATGTTAGCCTGAGTGCTGTCATTGCCAGTTTTTTGTAGCTTAGTCTGAACTTAATGTTCCTGAACCTTTTTGTGCCATTGCAGACAAACTAGGTGTTTAATTATAGAATCGTCCACAGAGCATAATTTTTAGTCATTTAAGTGCTGTGCTTATTCTCATGGCAGAAGCACAGAGTAGAATTGGAAAAAGGGCTTAATAAGCAGCTTTGAAGGAATTAGGGTTTCTGAGGGCTTTTTTTTTGTGTTTGTGTGCCAAATAAAAGAAATGCTGTATTTTATTATCCTGAACTTCATTGTGTCTCTTCCACATACAGGACACTCATCACACTTTGAGAACTCTTTTGAGGGATCTTCTTTTGATATTGGAGACATTTCCCTTGCACTCTATTCTGCCTTGTTTTCCTACTCTGGTTGGGATACACTCAATTTTGTAACAGAAGAGATCAAAAACCCAGAAAGGTAAATGATTTGAGCTTTCTAAGCCTGGATAGTTACCAAGTTGCTCATTTTGTGGCTGTCGTTTACTAATGAGTTTTGAGTCAATACAGAAATGAGTAGAACTGCTCTATACTTAGATGGTAAGGCTGTGAACAACCAGCAACAAAGGTTTACTAGTTTTAAATTACATTAAAAAAAAAAAAAAAAGAAAGAAAAAAAAATATAAGAATAAATAAGTCAGACTGTTGGAGGATGCTTTATTCAGTGCTTGATAAGCTTTCAGTTCAAGATGTTGCTACTATTAATTACAACAGGTGTTAATATTGCAGTGAAACGGTTACATAAGTGTAGTCTGTTCTGTGTTTGTGCAATAATTCTGATTTCATATTTTAGAATCACAGAATCACAGAATCTTCTAGGTTGGAAGGGACCTTAAAGATCATCTTGTCCAACCGTCAACCTGACTGACAAAAATAGACACCCGCACAACAAACAAGGAGCATCATCACTAAACCAGACCTCCCAGCACTACATCAACCTGTCTTTTGAACCCCTCCAGGGATGGTGCCTCAACCCCCTCCCTGGGCAGCCCATTCCAATGCCTGAGAACCCTTTCAGTGAAAAAATTTTTCCTAATATCCAGCCTGAACCTCCCCTGGCGTAACTTGAGGCCATTTCCTCTTGTCCTGTCGCCTGTGACTTGAGAAAAGAGACCGCCCCCCACCTCTCTACACCCTCCTTTCAGGGAGTTGTAGAGAGCAATAAGGTCGCCACTCAGCCGCCTCTTCTCCAGGCTGAATAACCCCAGCTCCCTCAGCCTCTCCTCATAAGACTTGTGCTCCAGACCCCTCACCATCTTTGTCGCCCTTCTCTGGACCCGCTCACGCCCCTCAATGTCTTTTTTATGGTAGGGGGCCCAAAACTGGACACAGCCCTCGAGGGGGGGCCTCACCAGTGCCCAGTACAGGGGGACAATCCCCTCTCGGGCCCTACTCGCCGCGCTGTTCCTGACATAGGCCAGGATGCTGTTGGCCTTCTTGGCCACCTGGGCACACTGCGGGCTCATGTTCAGCCAACTGTCGACCAACACCCCCAGGTCCTTGAATGTTGTCTTTTCCATTAATTTATGCTCAAAAAGTGCAACTGACTAAACTAATCTGGTTCAGTCGTAATCAGATGCCTTTTATGATAAAAATAAAATCCCATTTCACCATTTTTACTTCCTATTACAAGCAACAGCTCAGATTGCTACAACTGGAAGATAAAGAATGGAAGAGAGATTTTGTTTCAGTTCTCCCAACTGACTTTGAATTTTTGTAGTTTGTTTTGTTCCCCCTAAGTGTGCTGTGCATTTATGTAACCAGGGAAGTTAATCTATTCAAAAGATAAAACAGCAGATAAGTATTTTAACTCTAAAAATAGCTATTTTTGTCAGGCTGAATTTCAGGTTGACAGTGCTTCCTTAAATTGTCTTGCAAAGATTTGTTATGTGTTCAGAAGAGATGTACATTTTGTGTTTGCATCAGACATTTGGTCCTTCATATTGTTTTGTTCCACTGAAAGAGTTCCCCTCTTGAGTGCTGTTGCAATGCATTTTCATCTTTTTAGAGTTAATATATTCTTATGACTTGGGTAACTCCTGTATTGGATGTATTGTTGTGAAAAATAATTTTTCTTACAGGATATTTAGCTGATGAAAATTTCTTTACATTCATTTGCTATTCATAGGCATCAGTGCCTAATACCAGCTTCGTTCTTGGTAACCATTGTAGTAAAGTGAACTCAAATTTCAGCTTTCTACATTCATAGTTACTAGGAATAAGGAGATGTTCCAGACTGCTATAAAATTACTCCAAGAATTACATATTTTTCACATTAATTAGATTCATAGTGCCCTCATGTTTGTCCAGTCAAAAGTTGCAATGCACAACTTTAAAATTTAAGTAGTTCTTCAGCTTTAATCTTGGGTGCTGCAGTCCTTAAAATGCCATTTCAGGATTTTGTTACGCTATGTAACATTTCTCAATTAATTACTAAGTGGTTTCTAATTCTGTTTCTTGTCAGCACTGAGGTTCACAGATGCCTTGCTGTGAGTGTGCAATCTGGAAGCAGAGTCAGAACTCCCAGTTATTAATTCACTGATTTATATGGAGGTGCTGTGGCGTGTGTTTGTTTTTCTACTTCCACAGCATCAGACAGACGCAGCTGGAGTTCTGGGCTTCAGGAAATTTTTGAGGAAACTTCCAAAGTGTGTTTCATTTTTCTACTTCGTGGTGTTTTGTTGTTTTTTTCTGTTGTTGTTATTGGAAAACGTGTTCATGTCAAATATTCATCCAAGTCACCATGTCACGTTTTATTTCAAACTGGACAAATGTGAGAGTTAACACTCTCAGTTCTGCTTTCCCTTTTGAGACATTTGAATATCCCTGCAAGCTTTGGGGAAAGGAAAAGGCTGAGAAAAGCCAGAGCCTAAAATTAAAAGTTTGCTTCTGATTGTGCTCTGTGGGTTTGCTCCCGATGGAGCTGCAGACTCAGGGCTGTGAGTTTATCTCAACTTTAAGTTTTGCCTGTTTACGTCTCGAGGTTTGCAGTGTTTTCATGTTACTCTAGGCTATTTTGTATTCCTTTCTAGACATGTAAGATACACCAAATCCCAGGATTCACATCTGTGTAGCAATTTTGGATTTGCCCTCTGCATCTCTGCTTTCTGCAGTTACTCAGCCCAGTTAGTTTGTTCTCTGCAGCGGTGAGTGCAGATGAGATTAGGGGTTTGGTGTGCTTTGGTTTAGTGCATCTCCCTGCACTGGCTCTGGAAGCAGCGAAGAAGCTACAAGCTAGCAGAACAGTGTTCCCCAGGGAGAACAAGTGCAGTGACTCAGAGCTCTGCCCCTTTGAGTTCTAGTTGGAGTAATTAACATGGCCAGTAGGAAATAATTTAATGCAGGTACATTTGAAGGCTATTATTACTGCTCTGGAAACCCTGAAGTTAGGGTACTTGAAGAGCAGTTGTATAGAATCCCCTTTTACACATAATTCAGGTTTTAAGTTATTGCAAAAAAAAAAAAAACAGGTTTTTTTTCTTCCATATTCTGTGTTAGAATTTCTAGTTTTAAAAGAAACCAAACTTTCCCAGAGATACCTGTTCTGAAGTCTTTATTCTGTCTTTATATCTGTAAGGCACGAAATGCAAATAAATAGGTTTATGCTGTCATTAATGGATAACATTAATTATTTTATTTAATGTTATTTTATAACATTAAGTATTTTTTTCCTGAGTTCTGGGGTTTGGGTGTTTTTTTGTCTTACAGGAACTTGCCACTGGCTATTGCAGTGTCTATGCCCATTGTGACCATTATCTATATTATGACCAATATAGCTTACTATACGGTGCTGGATGTTCAAGCTGTTCTTTCTAGTGATGCTGTGGCAGTGGTGAGTTGACCATGTGGTATTTTGCTGTATTATTCACTTTTCACCTTCTAGGGATGCTTTTCATTTTGAGGAACAAAACAGGAAAAAAATCCCTAGTTTATTACAGTACTTCAGCGAATACAGGAGGATGGAACAACTCATCGTGAATAACTAAATCTTAAATAGAAAAGTAGTTAATGAAGTAACATATAATAATATATTATCAGATTTGTTAAAACAGGCACAGATGAATCTTGTTAGTGAAGTTTGCAAAGATGCTGATTATACTTGTGCACTTTGAGCTGATTATAAATTAGATTTATTAGTACATAATTGTCTTCTCTGTTCCTTTATGGAGTATTTAGCGAGCTGGAGCAGTTTGCAGAACAGTGTTGCACTGAGCTGTATTCTGTTGCGCTAATCATTGGGGCAGTGCATAGCGGTAAATGGGTGTGTTTGCAGCTCAGCTGTGACAAAGATTAGCTTTGTATCTCCTTTCTAATAACTTAAATCACCGTCTTACCAATATTGTACTAATTCCAACAACTTTTAATATTTTGAAATTTGTTATTTCTGTATATGGATGGAAGCTTAAACCCAATTAAAATATATAAGTTTCTTAAAAGCTGGTCAAAAATGTATGCTTAAAGCTAATCATTAAACAAAAGTACAGTTTGTTTTTTGGGGTTTTTTTCATGGTAGCCAGTGAATTAATTGGATACCTCTGGTTACCATATCCTTTAGACTTGGAAAATTTCATCTTCTTTTTGGAGGGAAAGAAATAGCTTTCCTCCCTTTTAGATTCCCAGTTGGCTGCTATAATTTAAGTAGTTAGACAATGGGCAGAGGGTTTTAAATACATCAAAATGAAGGAAGTATTCACTCTGTTCCCACAGAGGATTACTGTGATTAGAAACTGGCTTAGCAAACCAGCAAACTTGTTTCAGGTGTTTAGGCAGATGATTCCGCAAAAGCACTTACTTGACTTTCCTTCAAGCTTGAGAAATATTTATATTTAATATAAGCTTTCAAAATAGATTATGGTAAATGTGAGCTGTAACTTGTTATTTCAAATGTAATTATGCAGATGTTTATTTCAAAATGCATTGAAAGTAAATGAACGTTTAATTCTTTGCCTTTTTTTAGCTGGAATATGGAAAGACAAAGTTGTCATAAAATATATTGTGAAAAACTTGGTAAAACACTTCAGAATGAAGCAAAACAAAACAAGGACAGAAAATATTTTATTTTGAATCAGCATATGATAAGGGGTAAATAAAATCTCCAGGAATATTTATTTCTCTTGTAGGCTATGGTATCCCATATAGAATCATAGAATAGTTTGGGTTTGGGTTGGAAGGGACCTTTAAAGGCCATCTAGTCTAATCCCTCTGTGATGAGCAGGGACATACTCAACCAGATGGGGTAGCTGAGAGACCCGTCCAACTTGACCTTGAATGTTTCCGGGGATGGGGTATTTACCACCTCCTCAGCCAACCTGTTCCAGTGTTTCACCATATAAAGTACTTTCCGGTGATTCATAATGGAATTTTCAATTCTTGTCTAGAATTAATTAATCCAGACAAAACTAAAAGGCAGTACAAGTCCAGTGTCTGTCCTGACTTCTGTAAAGCAATACACTACTGTTTTTTTCTAACGACAACTTGGAAAATATACTCCTTTGACAGCAATTGAAATTCTCCAATTCAGCCTATCCCCTAAGAGGATTCTGTGCCTACTCTACTGCTCCCAGCCTTTGTCATCGCAGGGGTTTATACAGCCATTTGGTGAATGGGAGCAGGAAAACTGATCCCCCCTGGGAGACTGGGGGAAGGATGGGGGTGATGCACTGTGAGCCCATCCAATCAGTGTTGCAGCAAAGGACAGAGCTGCAGCAGCAATGGGTGGCCAGGTAAAGGAGGGACGATGGGTGCCTGAACCTTACTACACATGTGAAACCCAGGCCTACATTTTTATGATTTTATGTACACCTCATTTAATTTTCTTTGATGTTGTTCTTGACCAGAAGTGAGTATATATTTATTTTTGTGTGTGTATACATTTATGTATATACATATCCTGTGTAATTTTACATGAAATTGTAATACTTAGAAATGGACAGATTGGGTTTGCCTCTCTAGTATAGGATGCACTGGACATGGAGGAGAAAAAAAGGAAGACTTAAGAATGATATAAAATCCTTAGTCAATCTAATGAAAAAATATGTTTGTGATTTCCAAAGTTACTAGGGGTTTTACTTCTTGTGCTAGTTTTCATGGAACTTGACTTCCAAAGTCATTAATTTGGTTTAGAGCTGTGCATTTTCACTAGATTTCAGGATTGCCAAATACTTGCACTTAAAAGCTTACCTGATGTTCTCTGCAAAGACATTTTTGCTGAGATGTCTAAGAAGCGCGCAAACAATGGTCTTCAGGTTGCCACTTTTTACATCCCTTTTAGAATGATACGGTGAAATTGCAGCTGAAGTTTAATACTTAACACATGACTCATTAAAGATCCCTTTTCATTGCTGATAGGAATTTAGTACTCAGTTTTATGGAATGATCTTTAATACATTAACAAGTAGTGTGAACCTCTGGAAGGATGTCTGTAGGGTGGAACAGTTGACACTGTGGACTTGACACTCAGACTATAGGGGTATTTTACTTTGGATGAGCTCTGATGAGGTCCTGTGGCCTGGCTGCTCACACGGGGTTGGATTGCAGCCGGGGAGGGCAGTAGGTGTGCTCTTGAAGTTCGTCTTCTGGTTCAGCCTGTTCTAAAAGGGAAGCACCCTTTGGCTCTGATGCTAAACAATGGGAACCAAAAAGCAGTAAGTGGCAATAATTGAGAGAGTTGCAGTCCAAAATAAAGCACTAATAATGCACCCATGGGGGGAGGGGGGAAGGGAGCTAATGACTGTAATGGTCTGTATTTCCAAACCCTCCTATAATGCAGATATGTATACATTTCCCTGTGAAATTTCTCTGGGTGGTGGAAGAGAAATTTATTCTCAGTGGAATCTTTAAGGAGGCTTGGAGCATTGTAGTCGGGGGATGAATGATAAAAGGATATGAGAATTAAGCCAATCCAAAAACTCATCTGATGAGAATGAGCCTCTTTGATCTGCTCACATATTCTACATGTGATATATGATACAGATTCCTGTAGTTTCCTTATTGCTGTCTATGTAGTTGTAGGATGAAAATTACAATAATGATTTTTTTTTTAAAGAAACATGGTAATAATACTGCTGCATTTTAGAGCCTTTTTTGTGGTAAAGAAGCAGTTAAATTTAATCTTTCCATGTTGCTATTTTGGGAAGGAATGGTGTAGCTTTCTCCTATTCATTTCAGTCAAAAGGCTTTGAGCTGGAAAGATGTGGGGGGGAAGCTATTTCTAGTTTCTAAAGGAGAGTGAAACTTACCAGTAAAAGAAATACTAGTAATAGTGTATCTTTGCACAACACCTTGCATGCTGTTTTTCTTGGTGGCTGGGAGGTGAAAAAATCTTACCAAGGGATGATACAGAATGTGTGTATTGACACACACTGAATACAGACACGTGATAAAATGTCCTTCCTTTATTTCAGTATCAGCTTCATTGCAGTATAGTCCCAGTGCTGGGGCTAAGAAACTCGGGTTTTTTAACCTCTTTTTGTTGAAGTAATTTAAGTGATACAGCAACAGCTAGTTTAGAAGTTCTGGAAATGATCTTTTGGTGGTTGCTGATCATGTAAAAATTGCTTCCTTTTTCAAAGATTGCGGTCCCAGTATCGCAGTTTACTTCTGTTATACCTCCTTATGCAAATCAACACAACCCCTAGTGTTAAGTTTTATGCATATGAAGCAGTTATTCTGGAGCACAAACACACTTAAAATAAATAAAAGCAGACATTTTATCTTACCTTCCCCTGTCACTAAGCAACTATTTTTTTTGCATCTGAGAGTGCCACTGTATTTATTTTCTTTTTTTCGTGAAGAGGGCAGCTGGCTCCATGAGCACTTTTGGGGCTGCTCCATCTTCTAAAAAGAAAGAACATTCTGGCTACCGGTGCATCGTGTGTTACCTGCTTCCTGTGTTTGGTCATGCCTGGGGTTTTTTGATAGAGTTCATATAACAGGTGATACATGGCAGCTTACTTCTTTTACTTGGAAAAGCTAAAAATGATTTCTGGTTGAAGCAAACAGCTGGTTGTCCTGCGTAGCAGTTGTCATCTTTCTTGGAGCTTTACAGTTTTGTTGGTAGATTGGGGATAAAGATGATGACTTCATTTGCATCTTTGACTAGCATCTTGCAAGTCCAGCGTTGATCAATCCTATTTACCCTGGTGTACTTATCCAGGGTGGACTTGCTTTGCTTCTACGTGCTCCCTCCCTCAACAAGCCCAGGGGTATGGGAGGCTGTGTATTCTAGCTGTTTTATTCTTTTATGGTGTATAGTTTAACAAAGGATGAGTCTCTTTCTTGTAACTGAATTCAGCCAGAAATTCTTAAGTTATCCTTACACTTTTTGGGTATTACTTCTTCCTTCATTTAGCCAGTCACTGGCTGCTTTTCTGAATAAGAATCTCTGGTTGTCTTTGGCTGCTAGTGTCGTGACTCCTTTCTTTGCTTGCACTGGCACCTCCCACTAAGGTTCCTTTGGATGAACTACACATTGTGTACCTCCTAATGGAAGAATTCTTCATTAGGGATGGGTAGTTGCTTTTAGAAAAGAGCTATTTAGTAAGTTATTTGCCTTCTTTCTTGGAGTCAGCTGTAATTCACTACCAATGTAGCGCTCCTGTTGCCAGTTATGTAGAAGTTCTCTGCTTTGGGAGGCCAAGCTGGAAAGCTGAGCCAGAACTTGAAAATTTGAGTGCTACATATTTTCAATATGAGAATGGTAAGAGACTTTGGAAAACATTTTATTCGACAGCTAGCTATGCAAAATGCTAAGAACAGGATAAACACCTGAGAAGATTTATATGAAATATCTTCAGCACCTCCATGAAGCCATAAATGAAACTGTTCTACTGT